AGCCCCCGGCGGCTGCAGCGTCGGCGCTTTCCTCGGCATGGGGATTGGACGGACGGAGTTACACGCCTCCGGCGATAAGCATTAGAAGCTCCAAAGTGAGATGGCAGCAATGGCGGATTTTGGAATCCCTAGGGTTTCGAGAGTTTGGATTTCGGGAGTAATCGAAACCGAAGAAGAGACGTGAAAACGTCTCACGAGAGAGAGAGGAAGATGGAGGAATTTTGCCGGGCGTTCAAACTTCCATCCATACGACGCCGTACTTTGGATCCACGTGTGCACTTGTGGGCCCGCCTCTTACACGTTCTTTTTTGTCTTTACACAGGCGATGTTTCCTAAACTTTTTAAAATGGTAACAAATTAATTGCTAAACCTTTTTTATATGATAAATTTATTTTCACACTTAAAATATATTATTATAATTTTTAAATTTGTAAATCTGTACCATCGACGATGTTGATCACAAATTTCTTTGAAAATTATAACGATAAATTTTGCAACTTTAAAAATAAATTTATCAAATAAAAATTTTAAAAATTATTTTTTTACCATTTTAGTTTAGAAATCTTAATAAATTTTAATTTTTTTAAATTATAAAAATTTTAATATCTCATATAAGAATTTATTACCAAATTTTTTTAATATAATTTCGACCCATCTACAGAAAAACTAAACTATATTTAATGTTATTTTATTTTTTGATATTTTTATAAATTAATTATATTTTAAAAATATTTATAAAATTCAAAGTTGTAACTAGAAAGTTACAAAGTTGGTATATTTATCTAAATTTTATAAAAATGATATTTTAGTCTAGATTGATAATAAATAGACATTGTATTAAAATATACTCCATATTTTATTTTAACTTCAACTCATACCATTTTTTTATTTGTGATCATATGACTATAGTTATAATTTGATTATATGGTAATCACATTGGTCATAACGTTAAATTTATAATAATTTAATCAAATAATTAGTTTGATATGTAAGGGATGAACATGATGAATTAGTGTGATCATCATAAACCAATGTGATCACCAAATGACCATATCGTAATTTTGGTCATGTGGTCATAGGTGAAGAAAGATATGGGTTGAAGTCAAAATAACATATGAAGGGTATTTTTGGTAATGCTTCTAAGAAATATGATATTTTAGATATCGATAAAGGTAAAGGCTGGTCACAAATACGAAAGGATATGGATAAAAAGATACTAGATAGGAAAGAACGTAGACGAATCAAATATATCGGGAAAAAATAATTTGAGAACTGTGTAAATATGATACTATACCGTCAATAATAATATAAAGGGATTGATTAAACTATTTATACTAACAAGATTAAGTTAATTTTTCAGTTTTCTATATTGAGAGATCTTTAAAATTAAATATATTCGCTTTTGAGTAATATTAGAAATATCCAAGTGAGAACAAAAACGGTAAAATGTATGGTATTTGATTGACATTATATAAAAAATACTCTTTATTATTTTGAGTTCAACACATACATTTCTCCATATGTGATCATTTGATCCATTGACTCCAAAATATAGAGTGGTCATATTTTGATTTTATTGTTTATAACGTTAAATTTATAGTAATCACACTAATTTATTATCTTCATACCTTATATATCTTACTAATCATTTGATTACAACATCATAAATTTAACGTTATAAATAATGAGATTAATATGTGACCACACTATATTTCAAATCACTTAGATCACATGGTCACACATGAAGAAAATTATATGTTGAAGTCAAAATAGCAAAATAATGATATTTTTGATAATGACCCTATTTGATTAGTAGGACAATTTTAACTTTTGTAATATTTGCGAGATGATACAATAAATTGATGTATTTGTATAAGATTTGTAATTTTATTTTTGACCCTCCATCAGATCGTCCCATAATTTTGAGGGCTATATGCATATTATAAAATTTTGATCAGTCTAAAATATTTATTTATATAATAAAAATTATTAAAATAAAATTTGAATTTTTTTAAATATTATATAATAGAACAACTTTTGAAAAGCATATAAATATATATAAATTAATAAATATACAAATTTATTAAACTAAATATATATATATATTCTTTTAATATATTCTAATAATTAATCGTAATATTATTCTTTTAATAAATATATATTGTTATTGTTTAAATATTTAAAAAAACTCCACATATTGGCACAGAACAATTCAAAATAAATATCTGAATTTGTTCAAATCTTATCAATAAATACATAACTTTTTTTTATCTTTTATAAAAAATACATCAATTTATAATTTCTCTCAAATTTTTATATGACCTCGATTTCAGATGAATGGTGATAACATGGCTCATTGATTTTACGTGTTAGCACTACATGGTAATTTTTTTTATCATATTGAAAATAATAAAATAATAAAATAAAATATAAAACACAAATGAAAATTAAATGTATGCATATATATATATATATATTACACATATATATACACATAAATTCATAGGTATATAAACTGAATATATATGTATATTTACTTGTATAAGTATGTATATATATGTATGTATGTATATGTGTGTATGTACATTTACATGTATGAGAGTATATATGTATATTAAGAAATGCTGAGAAGATTCAAGAAAATTAGGTAATCTATAGATTTGATTTTATTTAATTTCTATATTTTATATATCTATACTAATTAAATAAGATATATTGTGATTTTATTTTCTACCTAAAAATATTATAATGGTATGTGGAATAACGAAAAATCAAATGATTCTCCATCATTTTCTTTATTATGGTATCAGAACCTATATGACTAAACGTCGTAAAGATCTTTTCTATACCCGACTTTAACCTCTTCGATTCAAAAATTTAGATCGTTGATTCGCACATTTGCACCACTTTTTTTTCGGTTTTAGCCGCACACATTTGTGCTATTTTTCTCTCATTTTTTTCGATCTAACCGCTAAACCATGGCGCCTTTTTTACCATTGACATTACTGTCATGCTATTAGACTTCATCACAATACTGTGCATCTGCACCGTGTCTCTACGCCACACAAGGTTTCAGATCTGTCTTTCACAAAAAAAAATGATATCATTCAGACAACAATCCATCGTTTACTCATATTCTACCCTCAAATCTAGATATTTATTCTCGATTTCAAACTCAATAAAATGGCTTTCATCTCCTTGAATTTGAGAAAACGTCTTAAGATATATGAAAAAGATTCGAGAAGATTATGTAATATTTAGATTTGATTTCTATATTTTATATATTTATATTGATTAAATAAGATATATTGTGATTCTCTTTTCTAATTATAAATATTATAATTCTCTATATTGAATAATGAGAAATTCAATTTTGCTCCATCATTTTCTCTAGGGATAATCACATATAAATACCTGAACTTTTACAAAATTTCCAAATAAATACCTGAACTATAAAACTCTCAAATCAATACCTGAATTTTTCAAAACTTCTATATAAATAACCAAATTTTTAAAAAACTATACATTGATATTGGAAGATTTTTTTACTAAACCTGAGCCGTAACCTAATTTCCTTTTCCGCCGCAGCGGTCGGCCTCTGCCGATCGTTCACCGTTGCAAATGCCCCCTCGTCTTCGCTCAGCCTCGGCGCCTCCGTCGCCGGGCCTTCTTGGTCGTCACCCCCTTACTCCTCCCTTTTCTTCACCTCTGAAACCTGGCCCAAATCCCCCGGACTTATGCCTCCACTTATCACTGGCCTCGTCACCTCCTCCACAGACAGGTCGCTTCTCCTCCTCTTGCCCTCCGTCCTCTGCTAGAGTCAGGACTGTCCCTATTGGCCAACAAATGCTGGATTCGACTGCCAAGCCAAACTCTCCTCCACCACCTCATTCCTCTGCTGCTTGTGCTGACTCGGGGACTAAGGCAGAAGCTGGACAGGTTAAAGCTACTAACTGGAGCAAGCATCTCTTTCCGGTTGATCGAACGCTCAAGAGAACCGGTACCCCTACAACCCACATTTCTGGGAGCCTCTTGTTGTCATCCCGGAGGAGTCCATTTCGGAGACGGTTGACGAGTGGAAGGAATTTCTAATAGGACAGTTCTACGGATTGCCTCCATCCATGGACCGAATTATTGGAGTCGCGAATGGTCTATGGTCCCGGAAAGGATGCAGAATACGAGTACAAGATATTGGTAATGGTACTTTCCTTTTCAAGGTGTCTGATACTTCGGTTAGAACCCATATTCTCAGTCGACAATTCTGGTATGTCGGACAATGCCCGATGTTCATTACTGGAGTCCTTACCATAATCCACATAAGCCACCCCTGGTTTCATTCAATACCTGAGTTTCATTCAGGAATGTACCGTACACTCTTTACAATTCGGACAGTTTGAGTAGGATTGCTACGACAGTTGGTGACCCTGCTTATCTGGACCGTGCCACAATAGCAAAGGAGAATGTGGCACTTGCTCGCATTTATATGTCTGTCCATTTGCGCAAACCATTACCGAGTCGCGTTAGAGTGACGCTTCCCGGTGGCATGGAACAATTTGTGGAAGTTTCGTATGATTGGCTCCCTCCAAAGTGTAGTCAATGCTTGGAGATCGGTCATAATGTTCATCATTGCCCACAATTTAGTCCAGTAAAGTCTGCACCTGTGGACAAGGTTTACCGAAAGAAAGGACAAGTGACTCACGCTTCACCTACAAGGGCCTCTGTTATACCTTCGACGCCGTCTGTCTCATTGGTGCAGGAAGGTTCGGTGAACACCGTAATACCCGACATCCAAGGATCAAGTATTGGAAATGATACTAACTTGACCCTGGCTATTGAGTATGTCGCCACTACGCCGTCGGCGACAACTCAGAGCCCTCAACAAACTTGCAATAATTCAGTCGCTTATGATGTGCAGCCTCTGCCTCCTCGTCGTGCAATTGTTAGCGAGATCGAGCAGACCCTACCTATTCGGTCTAATCATGGACCGGGTACCAGTAACAGGCCAACGAAATCTACAAAAGGCTCTAGGAAGCAGGAAACTCCACTACCGACCGGTCCCTCGGCAACAGTGAGTCGAGGCCGTGGAGCCAAGAGAGGCAACTAATTTACCAAGGAATTCCCATGCTTTTTGTTTGGAATATACGGGGCTTGAATAGCCATAATAGAAGATCTTTTGTACGCAAGTGGATTTTGGAGAAC